CGTGCAGGCGCGCTCCCTGCGCCGGGCCCGCGACGTGCGGGAGCAGCTCGAGGGGCTCATGGAGCGCGTGGAGATCACCCCGGTCTCCTGCGGCACCGACTACGGCCCCGTCCGCAAGGTCCCTGCTCCCCCCCCTCACCCCTTCCGTCCCCATTGGGACCCCCCAGCACTGACCCCGTTGTGTGCCCCCCCCCCAGGCCATCACGGCCGGGTTCTTCTACCACACAGCGCGGCTGACGCGCGGCGGGTACCGCACGGTGAAGCACCAGCACTCGGTGTTCATCCACCCCAACAGCGCCCTCTTCGAGGAGCAGCCCCGCTGGGTGCTCTACCACGAGCTCGTCTGCACCACCAAGGAGTTCATGCGGCAGGTGGGGAGCCAGGGGGGGTACCAGGGGCATGGGGACAGCACCGTGGGCATGGGGACATCACCATGGGCATGGGGACACTGGGATGGGGACAGCACCATGGGCATGGGGACAGCACCGTGAGCATGGGGACATGGGCAAGGGGACGGGGACAGCACCATGGAAATGTAGACACTGGGATGGGAACATCACCGTGGGCATGGGGACAGGGACAGCACCATGGGCATGAAGACAATGGGATGGGGACACTGCCATGGGCATAGGGAGGTGGCCATGGGGACACTGGGATGGGGACAGCACCAAGGATATGGGGACACTGGGATGGGGATGGTACCATGGGCATGGGGACACTGGGATGGGGACAGCACCAAGGATATGGGGACACTGGGATGGGGATGGTACCATGGGCATGGGGACACTGGGATGGGGACAGCACCATGGGCATGGGGAGGTGGCCATGGGGACATGGTCAAAGGGACACTGGGATAAGGACATCACCGTGGGCATGGGGACACTGGGATGGGGACAGCACCATTGCCACGGGCACATCCCCACCTTGGCTGCGTTCCCCCCCAGGGGCTGGGCCATGGTGATGAGGGGACGTGGCCACCACTGTCCCCATTGGGAATGGGGTGGAAGGGGATCCTAAGGGATGTCACCATGACGGGATGGGACAAGGACCAGGACCCTTCATGGGGGCCAAGTGCAATGGGACCAGACCCCCCCCATGTCCCCATGGGCTCGGGGCGCTGTGACAGCCCCCTCAATGTCCCCATTGTCCCCAAGGTGATCGAGATTGACAGCGCGTGGCTGCTGGAGGTGGCCCCCCATTACTACCAGGCCAAGGAGCTGGAGGACGGCAGCGCCCGCAAGATGCCCAAGAAGGTCGGGAAGAGCCGGGAGGAGCTGGGATGAGCCCATTGGGGACCCCAATACAGCCCCAGCAGGGCCCGTGGGGCACGGCTCCGTCCATGGTGTTTATTCTGTACATTAAGTTAAGGGGACATGGGGGGGGGGGGTGTTGGGGACAATGGGGACAATGGGGGGGAGGGGGGTTCAGGGGTCCTCCTGGGTGGCCGAGGGCTTCATGGCGAGGTGCAGGGGGGGCACCGGTGGTGGCACCGGTGCCGAGAGCGCGGCCACCGCGGCGGCCACCAGCAGCTTCTTGTCCTGGGCCAGCGGCGTCGGGGCGGGCATCAGCTGTGGGGACAGAGTGAGGGACATGGGGGGGAAAAGGGGGGACATGGGGGGGGAAAGGCGGGGGACATGGGGGGGTACGGACCCGGTCCTACCTTGTCCACGCGGTGGCAGCGGATGAGCCCCTGCGAGTTGAGGAAGAAGGTGGAGAAGGCGTCGTAGGACCTGGGGGGGGATGGAGGCAAGGGGGACATTGGGGGGGATATGGGGCTGGAATGAACCCTGGTCCCCAGGGGTAATAGGGATATGGGGCTGGCATCGCACCCTATGGAAGGACGCGGGGTGATGGGGACAAAGGGGACCCAACCTCTTGTGCCATGGGGAGAGCAGGGACAGGGGGGGATGGAGGGGTGTCAGGGGGATGACTGGGTGTCAATGGGTGTCAGTGGGTATCAGGGGGTGTCAGTGGGTGTCAGGGGGTGTCAATGGGTGCAGTGTCTCACTGACCACAGGAGGGCGGCCTTATGCCAATAGAAGCACAGCATGCACAGGTGCAGGGGATGACCCAGGGGTGTCAATGGGTACCAATGGGTGTCAGGGGGTATCAGTGGGTACCAGTGGGTGTCAGGGGATGTAATGGGTACCAGTGGGTGTCAGTGGGTATCAGTGGGTGTCAGGGGATGTAATAGGTGTCAATGGGTACTAATGGGTGTCAGTGGGTATCAATGGATATCAGGGGATGTAATGGGCACCAGTGGGTAGCAGTGGGTGTCAGGGGATGTAACGGGTACTGATGGGTGTCAATGGGTAGCAGTGGGTGCCAGGGATATAATGGGTACCAGTGGGTGTCAATGGGTACCAATGGGTGTGAGGGGATGTAATGGGTACCAATAGGTGCCAATGGGTGTCAGTGGGTACCAATGGGTGTGAGGGGATGTAATGGGTACCAGTAGGTACCAACGGGTGTCAGTGGGTACCAGTGGGTGTCAACGGGTAGCAATGGATGTCAGTGGGTACCAACGGGTGCCAATGGGTGCCATGCCCGTCACTGACCGCAGGAGGGAGGCCTTGTCCCGCCGGTAGAAGCGCAGCACGAGGAGGTGCAGGGGCAGCCCCGTGAGGCGCCAGCGGGCCCGGATGCTCCAGTCCTCGGGGTGCCGGGTGAGCGCCAGCACCTCCAGCCTCAGGCTGGCGAAGTAGCCCCAGGCCAGCGCCCGGCACAGCGCCACGGCCACCTGGTACATGGGCCGGCCCCTGCAGTGGGGATGGAAATGGGGGGGGACGACATGGGGGTCACAGAGCATCCCCACGGAGGGGGGGGTTGGCACCGGCCCCATTGGGTGCTATGGGGTGGGGGGGCACTCACCGCGTGTGCAGGTGCAGGAGGTGGTTGATGAACTCCACGTCGTGGGAGTAGAGGCCGTAATCGGGGATCTTGAGGAAGAAATTGGGGAGCTGCGGGAGGGGGGGGGAAAGGAGGGGGGGTGAGGGTGGGGATGAAGGAGCAGCCCCCCCCCATAGGGCAGCGCAGTGGGGTTGAGCCCCCATTGCCCCCCATTGGCATCACCTCGTGCTGCAGCTTCTGGTGCATGACGGCCAAGTGCTCCTCCATGGACGGGGGCTGGCGGGGGGCGTGCGGCGGGCCGGGGCGGAGCAGCGGCAGGGCCGGGCCCCGCAGCAGGAGCCGGGCGGCTCCGGGCCCGTCCCGCACGGCGATGTCGTCCTCGCGCCGCCCGTCCACCGTGGTGAAGGCGCCGCCGAGCCCCTCCGGAGGGGACAGCGACGGCGGCGGCGGCGGCGGCAGTGCCGGGACGTGGCCACCGGGGGGCGCCAGGTCCTGCGGGAGCGCCGGGGTGGGCGTGGAGCCGGCGCTCCCTGGGGGCACTCGGCCACCCACAAAGCCCCGCCCACGTCGTCAGGATCCCGCCGTTGGGATTTGCATAGCCACGCCCACAAGGTAGAGCGTTTGCATAGCCACGCCTCCAAACAACTAAAGCCATTCGTATTGATGCACGTCATTTGCATAGCCATGCCTCCAAACAACACAACCCATTCGTATTGACGCACGTCATGTGCATAGCCACGCCTCCAAACAACATTACCCATTCGTATTGATGCACGTCATTTGCATAGCCATGCCTCCAAACAACTAAAGCCATTCATATTAACACCGCTCATTTGCATAGCCACGCCTCCAAACAACACAACCCATTCTTATTGGCACAGCTAATTTGTGTAACAACACATCTAATCTGAAGCAATTCCTATTGGCACGACTCATTTGCATACCCACGCCTCCAAACGATTAACATTGGCACAGCTCGTTTGCATAACCACGCCTCCATACAGCAGAACGTGTTCCCATTGACACATTGGCTCATTTGCATAGCCAAACCTCCAAACAGAACCAATATTGGCACAGCTCATTTGCATAGGCACGCCTCCCAACTGTAGAACACCTTTCTATTGAGACATTGGCTTATTTGCATGGCCACGCCTTAAAACAAGAGAACCAACTGCTACTGGCTTGGCTCATTTGCATAGTCACACCTCCAAACAGCAGCACCCATTCCTATTGGCTCAGCTTATTTGCACAGCCATGCCTCCATGCAGTGGACCCCATCCCTATAGACACAGCTCATTTGCATAGCCACGCCTCAAAACAGCAGCACCCATTCCTATTGGCTCAGCTCATTTGCCTACTCACGCCCTTTTCTTCTTCGCGCACAGCTCATTTGCATAGCCCCTCCTCCACGCAGCAGAACCCACTCCAATTGGCGCTGGTCATTTGCATAGCCGCACCCCCCTCACCGTCCTCTATTTGCATAGCCCCTCCCACCCCGCTCTGCCTGACCCCGCCCGCTCTCCCCTCACCTGCGGGCGCGCCCGGTACCGGCGGCGCGGGGGCAGCTGCGCATGCGCGGGGCGCTCAGGCGGGGGCCATGCCCGGAGCCGGGCGGCGGCGGCGGCGGCGGCTGCGGCCCGGCCCTGCCGGTACATGGCGGAGCCCCCCCCCGGTGCTCGCACTGCGCATGAGCGGAGCGGCACCGGCCCCGCCCACAGCGCGCGCAGGCGCGGGAGGAGGAGGGAGGGAAGCGCGGCGGCGGCGCGCGTGCGCACAGGGGAGGAGAGCGCCGGGGAAGGTGACCGGGAGGGAGCGCTCTGCGCATGCGCGCCCGCTACGCGAGCCGGCTGCTTTCCCGCCGTCGCTCCCCATTCATTCCCCTCAGGGGGCGGAGCCAGCGCGCCGCACAGCCAATAGGAACGGGGCTCTTCTTCCGGGGGGGCGGGGGTTAATGACGATACCACGCCTTCCCGATGGACGTCACCCCCAGACACAACACGAGACCCAAAGCTGAAATTCACCGTTTTTATTGAAACGTTACCAAAATGGGGAGGGGCGGAGGGGCTGTGGGGCAGGGACAGGCACCCATAGGGCAGGGATGGGTCCCCATTGGCACTGTGGGGTGAGGAGAGGGCCCCCCCCTCCCCCCTTGGACCTATGGGGTGAGGATGGGCACCCATGGGGACTCCATGGGGCAGAAACAGGCACCCACCGTGGCAGTGGGGCAGGGCCAGGCACCCGTGGTGGCTGTGGGGCACAAACTGGGACCCCCCCAGTGGGGCTGGGACGGGCACTTGCAGGGGCTGTGGCATGGGGACAGGCACCTATGGGGCAGGAAGAGGCGCCCCCAGGGACCTATGGGGCAGGATGAAGACACCGTAGGGCAAGGACAGGCCCCCCCACTGGAGCCGCAGGGGAAGGAACGGGCACCCATAGGGGCTATGGGGCACCCCACATCCCCCAGCAGACACGAGCCCCCCAAGGCCCTGCCGTGGGGGGTGGGGGTGGGGGGGTGGGGAGCTGCCGTGGGGCTCAGCGGCCGACGCGCCCGAGCGAGCTGCAGGGGAAGGGGATGGGGGGAAGGGGGGTAGAAAACAGCGCAAAAGAGAGAGGAAAAGGGGTGAGAATTGAGGCAAAACCCAGCGAAGTTGGGAAAAAGCCGCGAGGAGCCGGAGGGACCCACCTGGAGCGGCGGGGGGGGGGCGCGGGGTCCGAGCCTCCATCCAGGTCCCGGCGGAGCAGGAAGGGCCGGAGGCTGCCGCGCACCGGGGACCCCCCCGTGCGACCGGGGCTGAGGTTGAAGGGCCAGGGAGGCTCCGCCTCCTCCCGCAGGACTGCATGGGATTGGTTGAGGTGAGAGGGAAGCTCCGCCCCCTGTGCCTCAGTGTCCCCCCCCTCATTGGTCACTTACAGTCGCGCTCCGATAGGGAATAGGGCTTGATCTGCTCCTCGGGGCGCTTGGGGGGCGGGCGGCGGGCGGGGGGGGCTGTGGGGAGCAGGGTTAGAAGAGGGGGGAGGCAGTGACCCCCAATGGCCCCCTATGCCCTCCCCCATCACTCACCGGGGCGGTTGGAGAAGAAGCCTTCGAAGATGACGAAGTTGTTGACCTAAAACAGGGATATGGGGGGGTGAGGGGTGGTTCTGACCCCCATGGGGTAATTATGGGGGGGATTCACGCCCCCCAATGTGCTTCTATGGGGCACCCCATAGGACCCGGGTGTTGCCCCCCCTTACCTGTGGGATGGCATCCTCCAGCCCGTAGTGCTTGTGCAGGAAGGCCAGGAGCTTCGCCGAGGGTCTATCCACAGCCAGGCGCCAGGGCTCTACCCGCTCGCTCTATGGAGTGATGGAGGCATTAAAGTGGGGGTCCCCAATGTCCCTATGGATGGGGGGCGGCCCCATTTTGTGCCCCCCACTCCCTGTACCTGCAGCATGTGATGGAAGAGCTCCCGGCCGTAGCCATGGCGCTGCAGGGATTCATGGATGTAGAAATCCAGCACGCACAGGGGCTCCGCTTCGATGTGGGCACCAGAGCGGTCCTGGGGGGGGTGGGGGCACAATGTGGGGGGCACCCAATGGTTGCTAAGGGGAGGGGTATGGGGGTGCTGGCCCTCCCCGCCACACCAGGGGCACCCCCTGCCAAGTACTCACCAGCAGGAAGAGCTTCTTGTACCCAACCTTGAGGAAGCCGATGACAGCGCCCTTGGGGACCCTATGGGGCAATGGGGGGGTTATGGGGGGGGTCTATGGGGGGCAATGGGGGGTGTCAATGGGGAGTTATGGGGATGGCAATGGGTGTTATGGGGGTGTCAATGGACGAGTCAATGGGGGGTTATGGAGGGGTCAATGGGATGTGTGGAGGAGATCAATGCGGGTTATGGGGTTGTCAATGGGGTGTTAATGGGGGAGTCAATGGGGGTGTCAATGGGATCTATGGGGGTGTCAATGGGGGGTTATGGGGGTCAGTGGGGGTCTATGGGGTATCAATGGGGCTATGGGGGCAGAGGCTCACCTCCGGCCCTCAGGGTCCCGCAGGATGTACAGCACGTGCCGGTTGGTCTCCATGCGGCTGGCGCTGGTGACGGGGGACGGGAGGCCCTGGGCCTGGGGGGACAGAGCTGTTACCCCCCATTGACCACCATCACCCCCCACTGACCCACATCACCTCCCCATTGACCCACATCACCCCCCATTGACCCACATCACCCCCCACTGCTCTCTAGAACCCCCTCATTGCGCCCCATTGCATCTTGTTGTACCCCATCAACCCCCTATTGATCCCTACTGCCTCCCATCACCCCCTATCGCCCCCACCACCTCTCATTGCTCCCTCCATCGTCCCCTATAGCCCCCCATCACCCTCCCATTATCCCCTTTACTCCCTCATTCTCTCCTATAGCCCCCCATTGTCCCCCTATAGCACCCCCATTGCCCCCTATACCCCCGCCATTGCCTCCCATTGTCCTCTATGGCCCGCCATTGTGCCCTACAGACCCCCCATTGCCCCCTCTAGCCCCCCATTGCCCCCTGTAGCCCCCCCATCACCCCCTATAGCCCCCCCCATCGCCCCCCATAGCCCCCCCATGGCCCCACCTTGGCTGAGGCCTTGCCCAGCTCATCAATGACCGTCCTCAGCTGCTGCTCCAGGTCCCCTCTGCTCCATGGGGGGACACGGAAGTGGGGGGACAGGGGGACACGGACACGGTCACCCCGAGCCCCCTCTCCATTGACCCCCACTATGGGTCCGCCGCTATCCCAGCATGCCCCGCGCTGCCCCCTTGTCTCCCAGCATGCCCGCGCTGCCGGTACCGGTGGGCGGTCCCGGGCCGCCCCGCGGGCCGCAGGTGCTGGTCCACCACGCAGAACCGGTCGCCCAGCACCGGGGCGAGGTCGAACGGGAACTCCATGGCCGCTGATCCCGGTTCCGGGGGCCCGGGCCCGGCCCCGCCGCCGCCTCCTTCACCCGCCGGGCCCGGCCCGGCCCCGCCACAGCAACCGCCAAGCCCGACTGCAGCAAGCCACGCCCCCTTAGCAACGGCGCAGCCAATCGCTGCCTCCGCTTTGCCCTCCCCCAGCAACACGCCCCGCCCTCCCGCTCAGCGGCAAAGCACGACGGGATATATTCCCCTCTCTCCCCACGCACTGGCCGCCATTTTGCGGCGCCGGCCGCCATTTTGTGAGCGCCGTGCCTCAGTTTCCCCAAGGGGAAGAAGACGACGCCGGGACATGGCGGGGGGGTGAAAGCGCTTTTATTGCCCCTCGGCCGGGGCCGCGGTGGTGCCCGGGGCCGCCCCTTCCTTCAGGTACTCCCGGTACATGCGGCGGACGCGGGCCACGGCGGCGGCGGGGGGCGGCTGCCACTCGTACCAGGGGTACCATGGCCGGGGGGCGGCCAGGGCGGGCGCCGGGGGGGTCCTGCCCACGGCCGGGTGCCGGGTGGTGAAGTCCCCTTTGGGCGTGGGCACGAAGGGCACCTGCAGCCAGAGCAGGCCTGCAATGGGGTGAGGGGCTGCGGGCACCCATGGGTGCTGAGCGCCCCCCCCCTCCCCACAGCACCCATCCTGGGGGCTCACCGTGGTCCTGGGCCTGCGCGATGGCCTTGGAGAGGAGCTTGTGCTGCTTCATGCAGACCCCTGTGGGGGGGAGAGAGATGGGCGCCGCCACGGCACCCATGGGTGACGCCACGGCACCCATGGGCGACGCCATAGCACCCATGGGGGTCACTAGAACACCTGCAATATAGCATCTATGGGTGCCACTACAACACGTATGGGTGTCATTATAGCGCCTATGGGGGTCACTATAGCACCCATAGGTGTCACTCTGGCACCTACGGGTGCCACTATAGCACATATGAGCATCACTATAGCATCTATGGGTGTCACTATAGCACCCGTGAGTGCCACTAAAGCACCTACGGGTGTTGCTATGGCACCTATGGGGGTCACTAGAGCACCTATGGGGGTCACTAGAGCACCTGTGGGTGTTGCTATAGCACCCAAGGGTGCTACTATAACACACACAGGTGTCACTATAGCACCCATGAGTGCCAGTATAGCACTTATGGGTGTTGCTATGGCACCTATGGGTGTTACTATAGCACCTATGGGTGTTGCTCTAGCATCTACGGGTGTCACTACAGCGCCCATGGGTGCCACTATAACACATATACGTGTCATTATAGCACCCATGGGTGTCACTACAGCACCTACAGGTGTCACTGTAGCACCCATGGGTGTCACTATAACATACAGATGTCACTCTGGTACTCATGGGTGCCACTATAGCACATGTAAGTATCTCTACAGCACCTATGGTGTCACTACAGCATCTATGGGTGTCACTGTAACACACAGCAGTGTCACTATAGCACCCATGAGCCTCACAATAACACATGTAAATGCCATTATAGCACCCATAGGCATCACTGTGGCACCCATAAGTGTCACAGTAACACATGTAAATGTTATAGCACCCACAGGCGTCACTGTAGCACCCATGAGTGTCACAGTAACACATACAAGTGTAATTATGGCACCCATGGGTGGCCCCTACCTGTGTGTGTGGGGTGGAAGATGACGCCTGTGTGCGGGCAGATGAACTGGTCCAGGAGCTTCACGTTCTGTGGGGAGGGAGAGGAGGAAAAGGGCAGGAAAAGGTGGAAAAGGGAAGGAAAAGGGCAGGAAAAGGTGGAAAAGGGCAGGAAAAAGGAAGGAAAAGGGCAGGAAAAGGTGGAAAAGGGCAGGAAAAAGGAAGGAAAAGGGCAGGAAAAGACCCCCCCCCCCCCCTTACCCTATAATCCACGTGAAGGTTGCGGTCCCGGCATATGGGGCAGGGGTTCCCCACCCGCTTCCCCTTGCGCTGCAGGGGGGGGAAATATGGTCAGAGGGGAACCCCCTGCCCCACATCTCCCCCCCCAGCCCCACATCCCGCCCCTCACCAAACAGGCCTTGCGGGTGCGCTGGGGGGGGATGGCTCCTTTGTGGTTGCGGCGGTAGCCAAACCAGACGGGTCGGTCGCCATAGGTGGTGCGGTACTCTGGGGGGGGACACAACACAGGGAGGGTTTTAGGTCATTTTGGGGTATTTTGGGTGATTTGGGGGTATTTTGGGATGTTCTGGGGTATTTTGGAGGTGGTTTTGGGCTGAGTTTTGGGGTGATTTTGGGGGTGATGTTAGGGTATTTGGGGGTGATTTTGGGGGTGATGTTAGGGTATTTTGGGGTGATTTTGGGGTGATGTTGGGGTATTTTGGGGTGATTTTGGGGTGATGTTGGGGTATTTTGAGGTGTATTTGGGGGTGTTTTGGGGGTATTTTGGGGTGTTTTGAGGTGTATTTGGGGATGGGGACCCCCCCCAATACCTTCGCTCTCCAGGTACTCCCAGGGCCGCTCCTCGTAGGGGCTCGGGGGGGGTTTGGGTGCTTCCTGGGTGCTGCAGAGGCGGAGGGTGTCCTGCGGAGGGGGTGTGTGTGACGTCACGGCGGTGACGTCATGGTGTGATGCTTCACCCCCCCAATATCACACCACCCCCCCGGTGACCTGACGGGAGCCGCTATGACGTCACACCGCTAGGAAAGGGGGAGGCCGGCGCTAGCGGTGACGTTGCCTATGACGTCACAGCCCCGCTCCCGTGACATGACCTGCCCGCCCGCACGTGGCACGGTACCGGGGCCCGCTCCGTTCCGTTCCCATCGCTGCCCCGGTTCCCAACCTGCCCCCTCCCCCCCCCATTCCGCCTCACCCGAGCCCACAGCGGCCGCCCCAGCGCCCTCAGCCCGGCGCCGGCCGCCCGCAGCAGCGCCATGCCCCTGGGCAGCGCCATCTTTGCCGCCGATCCCCCGCTAGGCCCCGCCTACCACCGGGAGGGGCGAGGGCGGGGCGCCGCCATCTTGCCGTACGGCTCCGCCTCCCGCTCCGCGCATGCGCGGTGCCCGCCGCTTGAATTAAAACTGCGCCACACCGTTGTGGGGTGCGGGGTGAGGACGCAATAGCGCGCTGCCACCGCGCATGCGCCGCCCGCAGGGG